GGGGGTGAAAGTTGGAGTCCAGAAAATTTTAATTAGTGATCTGCAAAATTTTGCGCCAAATTCTGTTATGAAAATTTGCAGATGTTTCATGGATCACAAATTAATGTATATATCATCCTCATCAACATCCTCGATTTGATTGGTGAATTTTAGTTTAATCTGTTTTCTTAATTCTAACCAAGACCAAGATCCATATAATGTTGTGACAAACAAAAAAGTTTCTTTGACTTTCTTGTATGTTGCAGTACAATTTATCATGATAGCTGTAGAGATGCAATCCGCGGATATCCGTCATCCGTTCATCCGTCATTTATCTCAAAAAATCAATCCATCATCCGTTAATTGCTCAAAAAATACATCCGTCAGATTCAAACGGATTATCCGGATCATCCGTGAAATTGAACGGATCATCCGGATTGTACGGATCATCCGCGGTTTGAACAGATAATTCAGCAATATTAGTATAATAATAAAATGTTACAAAAAGAGTAGTAATGCTAATAATTTATGACAATTCATTTATATTTATTATAAAGTTACAGTGGGTGAATACATTCAACACAACTTGCATTTCTTTTTAAAAACAAAATTCGTTTAAACAATTCTAAATCTAAACGTGATCTTTTAGCAGTCAATAAATTCCCTGCATGACTGAATAATCTTTCGCTTGGTGTTGAAGTTGCTGAGACAGAAAGGTATTGACGAGCAAGTTTTGCAAGAATAGGGTACTTAGATTTTTTATAATTCCACCAATCGAAAGGACTACAGGTAAATTCAATTTCATTTTCTTTTAAATATTCACTTATTTCGTCTGAAGATGGATTTTGATGTGACATATTAAAAATTGAAAAAAGTGTAGGTGTTTCAGTTTCAACTAAAGTGCAATCTCGATTTACATTTGTTGATGAAATATTGGTGATTGTTGATTGTTGAGCTGATATCTGATTATATTTCAATTGTAAATTCAATTTATAATCGTCTTTTATATTCTGTTCTATAAAAAAAGATATCAGTTAATTTAATATATAAAATTTAAAATTTAAAACATGATTTTACCTCTAATAAAAGTCAATTGTTTTGTACGTGGGTCTAACATAACAGCAATCATATACTCTTTATTTTCAAAGTTCCAGTAAAAATTCATTGCATTATATAAAACCCTATTAGTTAAACCCAGTATACCTTCGGTGTGCATTGGCTGGTTTAAATTAAAATCATTTTGTTCGGCATCTTCTATTTCTTCAATAAATTCATCATTAAAAACATCATCTAATTCTTCTAAATTAAATGTCTCAAAATCAGATATGGAATTTGATTGGATGTTATTTTTAAGACGCGTTTTAATTTCTTGTATTAATGGATACATCATACTGAATGTAATGTAAGAACTTCCACCAAGGTATGTAGTTGCTTCTTCAAATGGTTTTAAGATTTTAACTAATTCCTTCAAAAGCTCCCACTCTTCGTCACTTAGAAGAATTTTTTTTAACCTTTTACCATCTTTTCGAGTATCATAATCAGATTCAGATTCCATAGAACTTGCTAACAATGAAATAAATTCTTTGATTTTTATGAGTCTTGTCCAAGCAAGATAACTGGAATTCCAACGAGTTGGAACATCTCCTATACATTGAATAAAATAATCGGAGGTTTCTGATAAATCCTAAATTAAAAAAATTATATAAATGAATGAATGAATAACAAAATATCACTTAAATTATATATATCAAATTACCACATCAGAATATCTTTTCATTTGCATTTGAATATTTATCAAACGTTCACTTTAGTAGGTAACAATATAGTGTAAGTAGGTAACAATATATATATATTGTTACCTACTTACACTATATTGTTACCTACTTATGGTAGACTGTTACCTACTTATACGATTGGTTCGTATTTTCGTCGTACTTTGAGGTACGACGAGTTTGCATTTGCGTCGTACTTTGAGGTACGACGAGTTTGCATTTGTGTCGTACTTTTGGTGACCTATTGACTTCAATACTAGGACGAGGCACGAAATGCCGATTTTTATGAGTACAAAAATAGTCTAATAAATTACTACAAAAACGTATAAATAGAACCTCTATCCCCCCACTTTGG